AATTGGCTGGGTAACTATGATTCGCGGCCAAATATCTAAATATATGTGTATGTATATAGGTATTATAAGTTTAGCTTCATAATAACTAGTAAGAAATCTTAATTTGCTTTATTTCGTGATCACAGATTGACAGTATTATTTAAACTGTTCAGTTTTAACAGCCTGTTGCAAGTACGTGCATTAAAATTTACGAGCCGAATAAACTGTCACATGTTTAGACTGTGATTAATTTGACATGCATTCTCAAATTCTTTCAAAGTTTACCAAGCTCATAATTTTAAATTAAAGTTGTTGCAAGTCTTAAAATGTATAGCATCTATTTTACGCTAAAACCCAAATAAAATAGGAATCAAGTTGCCGACAAACTCAAGAAATTTAGTTATTTGTAAAGCTGTAATTCCAATGCGACGACTGAAACAAACGTAGCCGTGCGACTGTAGTTGCAGGGTACTAGAGCCATAAATGTTGACTGCTTCTCATGAAATCAGATCCTTTAAGGCTGTTTGGCTGTCTGAGACAATTAAGGTGGTTTGTCTTTTGTTCTTCCTTCTTAGATTCTTTCGATGGCATGTATTTCAGCCTGTGAGATGGTGATATCGTATTTATGTTTAACTCTGTGTATGCCAGAGCCTGTTCCCTTGTTAGTTTTACCTTTTTATTTACCTCGTTCCAATTGCAATTAACCTTAAAAAGTATTTTGAAGGTTAGGCATATTATGTGATCTGATCCCATGTTTAATACAGGATCATTTTCCTCATGCGTTATTCTGGTATGTTTTAAATTTCCCATGAGTTTCAGTTATTGGAGATGTCCAGCCTGTATGTACTCACTCTGTCCTTCCCATTTATGACTAGAATAAGGGGTGGGAGGTTTAGAATGATTTCTATAGAGGCTGTTGGCTGTCGGTGCGTTTTTATCACATGCCTGATCATCACTGCCTGTCTCTGATAATCAATTTGACTTACTATCAAATGCGTATGATAATACTCAGAGATTTACTATTATGTGAATGAAAGTCTCAATTCTCTTGTAAATAAATACTTTGAAACAACGTTTTCTCTCTTCTCTATAACATACCATTACTTTCCTCCCAATTTGTCAACAGTACTTACTGGCTGTTTCATCTAGCTACATAATTGTCCAATTAAGTTATTTTTACTAATAAAATGTTATTAAACTGGTCAATATATGTAATCAAAAAAATGTCTTTCAATAGAAGTATTTCCATATTTTTAAAATCCTTAGCCTTCCTTTATATCAAATTCATTAACATTTCCTTATTTATTCTTCTTCTTTTTCTTCTTATTTTTCTTCTTTTTGGTTGAAAAGATTAATATACATGCTACTGCCATTGTGTCTACGATAGTACTGGTACTGATACATAATAGCGTCACATTGACAATAGAGCCAACAACTCTGATCACACAGCTTTTTAGTTGCGAAGTCAGCCGCGCGGCTTCTATCGTCGCAGCAGGCGCATTTGAATTACACCTTATAAACAATAATAGTAAAAACGAAAATCATAACTTTTGTTTTCCTCTTTTATTTAATCTTATCTTGTATAAAGAAAATTAATATTTTTTCATAATTCTAATCTACAACATCAAAACATTAAAATCTAAACATCTAATTCCTAGTAACGGTGATTTCATTGATAAATATTCAAACACGCCGCGCAGTAAGTTGATGTATGTTTAATATATGGTTGAAATATTTTGAAATTTGAAGGTAGGGATATCCTGTTTTGTTTGTATGAATTGCCAAAATAAAATTGTTTTGAGAGTTTGAAATTCCATTTTTTTATACTTAGTCATAATTAAAAATAAGGCTCATATTTAGTAGAAAACTGTGATTACTTAATATCAATAATATACTCGTATATTTTTAGTAAATAGTAATTAATTATCATGTTAGTTACAAACCATTTATTGTGTACTTTCTATGTCTAAAAATACTAATAGTTTAATCTGCTTGAATCCAAAAATATCACCTGGTTATGTTCATACGAATTTTAACAAAGTGGCAAAACAAATGTGTCTATTGCGCATTCCTGAATTTTTTGGCAAGTGCGTCTGCTCGATTGCAGCTCTGCCTGTTTACAAATTCTTTGTTTTTTTTTCGGTGAACTCTTTATGATGACGAAATAAGTGTCGTTAAGTCAATTTCAAAATTGTTAATAATCACAATCTCATTTCCTAAAACCATCTATCAAAAATAATTATTTTGTTCACATTTTTGGCAGGACGTTTATTTTTGCGAAATTTTTAGCTACACGGATTGTTCTCATTTTTATAAGATTAATTTCTAGATAAACAAAACTAATTTTCGGTGAATAACTTTTCTACTGTATCAGTTTAAAAAAAATCAACGTTCATTAAAAAAAAATGGTTTAGTGAATACGACATAGGTAGTTGTTTTACTTTGATCACAGTCACCTTCAAAGGACACCATTTGGTTTTGATGTACTACCTTCGGTTTTCCATTTGGCGTCTTCCTTTTTTGATGAGGTCTATTATGCAAAGCACAGGTAGTAGTACATTTTTTATATAGACCAGTTCTTCACATCATCAGAACTGTTCATCCAATAAACCCTTTCAGGAACTCTCTGAAAGGTTTTCTCCTGATGAACTTTTATGTAGCTGATGAAGTAATTCGGATACTCTAGTCTTTGAAATGACTAAGTGTTTTCTATTTTCAGAACCATCAGTATTTTTGATTAATCGCTTTAATAAGCCTTCTTTCAGGATAAAAGAGACTCACTGAGCCAAAGTACGTCGACGATTTTACTTTCTTATCATCTCATCTTCTTTAAAACGGTATTGTTCTCTTGTTCTTCTTTAATTTTGGTAGGGGCTCACTTTTCATTAACTACCATTGTTCTTCGTAGTGCAACTTCTTTAGCAGGCATAACCAACCTCTTTCCGATCATAATCCCCGACCAACATCTTCATTCCGAGGTACCATCGTAGAAGGTGTTCCTTTTTACACAGTTCCTTTCAGCCGCGCTACTCCAATGGTTCCACCGTACCTTTCTGTATCTTACTATACAGCTGCCGGTTTTTAGAATTTTAGTGATTCTAGGACGTTTGCACAAACTGCTTACATTTTCAATTTTACCGCTATTCCAGCACCTAATAGTCTTCGCCTTCTTGTCAATAAGGCTTTTTATCATGTTAAATAGTTGGACGAATTAATTTTCCTCTTTTTCCTCTTTTAAAGTTCTTACTTTACTGTATCCACCACAAGCCAGCGTAGCTCCTGCAAATTCAAGAACAGTCGACAAGACATCGACCAATGTTTTGTGACGGGCTAAAAGGATTTTTGTTTGTATTTTATTGTCACGGAGTCCATTAACAAATGCTTGGGGAGCCATACATTCAATCACATATCCTGGAGCTAATGAGTAAGCAAATCGCATCATCTTTCGTCTTTGACTCCACCAGGCATCTTCTGTATGTTCCACAACTTGCCTTTCTGTTTTCTCCAGTTGCTTTATGTTCTTTTACGTTTCTTTTATTTTTGCCTCCATAGAAGAAATATTAAAATTTTATTTTTTATAGAGAACGTTTCAGAAGACACATTTTTTTTAATAAGAAACAAATTGTAGAATACACATCATCCGAAAATGAAAATGTTTTCGGATAACTTTCTGTTGCTTTTTTAAATCACTCTGCCAACTCTGCTTTCTTTCCTGTCACCTCCAGTTCACGAACTTCTTGTTCTTGACGCAAATACACTTTTGATTCACTGAGTTTTTTAGCCCTTTTCATCTACTATTTATTTGCAATACCCTGACAACAATGTAATGTTTATTTATTTTAATCGTTAGTTATTCTAATTTATTTACACTAAATATACTAATTAATTTATACTCAAATATTATACTAATTTAAATTAATTATATTGATCTGTTAACAGCGATGTCTTAATTTGAACTGGTCACTTCAACAACAAAACAGCCTCTTTATATACAAATATGACCATTCTTGAATGTACTAGATACCTTTCGAAATAATTGGCGGTACGACTCAGCATATACATCAACGGATCCCATTTTATAGAATAGCGCATTCCGTAACATAGTACATAGTATAATTAAATAATATTATAAAATAATTAAATGCTTTTTTACACCTGGAGTTGCCTGACTTACGCCGGCCATAGAAGGCGCCTTTTTTGACATTAGTCTTATTAATGTCAACAGGTGACACTTGACATCCCTGTCCCAAGAAGGAAAAATGATTTAAATTAAAAATTGCTCAAATAAATTGTTTTAAAACCTTTAATTCTAACAAATAAACTAAAGATAAGTTTAAAGAAAATAGATGATTATTTAGCAAGGTGGGACACTCCAACATTTAATGATTGGATACACGATGACGATTAATTTTATTGGAAGTCTTTTTAAAATTAATTTTCTTTTAACTTTTAATATTTGAAACTAGTTCTCATTTGGGTTTTGTATTCAACACATTCATCCCTTTTTTACTTTAATATGTCTTTTAACTGTAAACACAATTTAATTTGATGGCAGCGTAAACTTCATAAGGTTTTCTAGGAATACGAAGGGTTGTTGCCCCCTTTAGTGTTCCCAATTTTGGATTTTTGTAATTTTATAACTTACCTTTTAATAGTAATATTTTTATTTGTAACTTTGTTGATTGTAACTTTTATATCTAACCAAAAAGTTGTAATGTTCGAGCCTTTGTTTATCTATATTTATACATACAAAGTTACACTTACAATTATTGTAGATAAGCACTGGAGATGGTGTAATGCCGAAAGCGCTTTGTATTTTTAAATAAAATAATTTTTGCACGAAATACAAGTTTTCGTTGCTTATATAAGCTACGTGCATGGTTCCTTTGAGTCCTATTTATTTTAATTGGTTTTTGTAATAAAATGGTACCCACCAGTTTTATTTATTTTAAATAAGTGACTGATTAAATAATATCTTATCAGAAAATCTGTTGAATTACTTAATATAAAATGTATCTTACCTGTGTTACTCCTGTATTCACCAATAAATCGTCTGGTTAAATATCTAACAGTAAGTGCTGAAACAAAAATATAACTATATTAATAAATACAATGATGTATGATGTAGATGAATAATTTATATTTTACAAAAATATTTATTATAAAATATTCCCTTTAAGATTTTAATATACCTAAAATGTCACTGTTAATACTAAGTAAATAAATATTGCGAACTGTTAAAGAAAGTTTATATTATATTTTTTAATATAAATATTAGAGTATAATTAAGATCCTATGTCTAAAAATATATAAATGCAATGTTGGGCCAAGGAACCCATCTAATTCTAGAAGTCAGTGAAGCAAATAATGCCTTTATAATTAAAATATTTTCTGTCCTAAGGTTAGTCAATTATTCTGAAGTACATCCAAAATTTCACAAGCAACTCCCCTTAGAGAATATTGAAGATAGTACATTTATTAAAAATTGTTAAAGGCATCACGGAAGTTTAATTAAAATGTTTCCAGCAAAAGTCAATACTTTAAAAGTATTACTAACCGAAATTAGGGCGCTGACCTAAAGTTTCACTCATGTTTTTTTTACAGGTCCTATGTGCGATCAATTTTGAATTATGAGTATTGTTTATACGGATCAGCTAGTAACACTAACATGAAAATTATAGACCGAATACAATATAGATGTTTAAGAATCTGTCTAGAAGCAATGGTGTCAACACCTACATATGCGTTATTGGCCGAATGTAATGAGATGCCTCTGAAATTTCGCAGGCAAATATTGGCACTAAATTTTTTCGTAAAAATAAATAGTTTTTGGTTCAAACTTGATAGACGACCTAGCATCCCTCAATGTAGAAAATCTAACAAATTCCTATTGGAGAAAGAAGAATGCCGTGTCCTATAGGGACGTATGCTCAGTTTTAAAACAAAATGTGCTAAATTGCTGGAAAAACGAATGGACTTATATTAAATCCAATAATCTATATCACCAGTTATACCCTTGACTACCATCTCCGTCAGAATAAATTTTCGAGTACAACGTCTCTAAATACTACTTGGCATCAATGATAAGATTAAAAATACAACAGGGAAGATATCCCTATCATTTAGCTAAATTAGAAATTGTCATCTCAGCAGTATGTAATTGTGATAATGTATCGATAGCAGACCTGAATCATATATTCTTTAATTGTAACAATCATAAAGCCAAGACCGAAAGCCTATTATATATAGTTCATTGATTCAGTTGAAATTTAAACCACCCTTAAGTATCCCTAATTTGTTGGTTAAGGACAGCAAAATCATTAGTAACATCCTTATTGACTATTATGCAGCAAATTAAAATACATTTATAATTATAACTATAAGCTGAGGTAGTCATTTTCTTTAAAAAATCTGTAGCTAACAGATTTAATTCTAAACCAATTCCCCCTCTCACACATACACACGCACGTACGTACCACGCACGCACGCATAAATGTCGCTTTCAGTATAATACCTGCCAATATTTTTATAGATTGTGAAAATTATATCAAATATGAATAAATTGTCAGTACTAGACACGTACTAACCATACTTCTTTAAAAAATGTGCACCCTAGTTTACCCCTGTTATTAGTATTATTTATTTAAAATGTATATAATAATTATTTTTTTTGCAACAATAATTTCTCTAAATAACAGTTATATCTATGAATATGTAGTACAGGATCTCCATAAGATTGAGACAGCATAATTATAGGCCCATGGGATAAAAATAAGATGATTTTACCCAACTTACCTATAACCAAACCTGTATTAACTTTCAGCAGGTATTCCTAAATAAATTTGTATTGGGATATTTTTGTTTAATACACAATTTACTATTAAAGATCAAAACTATCTCTTACTGAAATAAATTTACAGAACATGTCACATCACAATAGTAGTTTATGTTACAAGGACGAAAAGTTGAGTTTTTCAGGTGACTACGAGAAGCTTGCCAGGCGAAACGTAGTCGAGCCTGGCAACTGGTAGCAGGAAGATCCTAGAAGTTTCCAGGCAATTTAAGATTCACTGGGAGCTAGTAGAAAAAGAAACGGGAGGTCTGGTCCAAGATTACATTCTCAGCTGAGACTAAGACTCAAATGGCAAATCACGTTCTTAAGTTAGCTAAATTATTTCACGGCAGAGTTACGAAAAATCGCTTTTTAATGTGTGGATGACAATGGTATGAAATATAATTTTAATAAAATCCGTCAGGATGTTGGCAAGGATTAGTTGAAATTATTTCTGAGAAGAAACCGTTAAACCAGTCTGAGGAAACCTGATGGAAAAATTGCCAATAGAATAACTGCCTTCGAAGAAGAATTTGTTGGATTTTTTTTTTCAAACTTGGCAGTTCTATTAGAAAAATATAAATTTGTACCAAGCAGAATAATTGAATCGTTTATTTCAGAAACAACCTAAGTCACTTTTTGAGAATTTTTAGGAGGTGAAAAAACGTTTTGAACTAGAACCAGGACTAAAGTTGATTCAGAAATAAACGAACATTTTAAATTGTCTAATAACTAAGGATGTTTATGGAAGTTAGTTTTTTCTGCATTAAATGTGTGTTATTCTGATACTACAATTTTAATGTGATAAACCCAATATGAACAAAGAGTGACTTAGATTGTTTCTGAAATAAACGATTCAATTAATGTTGACGAGAAAAGCATCTCAACTGTACAGAAGCCTACTATGTAACTGGGACCTAAGTCGTTAAACAGTTTGGATCAAAAATATATTGGGAACGGGGAATAAACATCACTGCCATAGGCTCAATGAGTTCTTCTGGGAACTTTATCCCACCGCTCCGTATATTTCCTGGGAAACAGATGTCTCCTACATTGACGAAAAATGGACCAGTCAGCGGAATTTATGCATCTAGTAGCATGTAATAGCAGTAGTAGTAGCATGGCTAAAGCGATGAAAACTGTTTCCTTCAGTAGTTACAGCATTTTAAATTATGACGCAATCGTAATGTTGTCAATACCTCCACACACGTCCCACCGCTTGCAGCCTCTCGATACTTAATTTTTTGGACCATTTTAATGCGCATTCAATAAGGAGTGCGATAATTTTTTAAAAACTGGCAAGCAAGAGAAATAAACTTTCTCAGATTTTACTAATATATTCAAAAATGCATACGTTAAAATTGCGACTGTGGAAAAGGCTGTTTCAGGTTTTAACTTATCTGGAATATTTTCCTTTAATCCAGATAAATATACAAAAGAGGATTTTGAAGCTGTCAGCCAGTATACGCATACTGTATCTGATGATTTGGACCCTACAAATTATTTTGCTTCCAGCCCGTCAACATCACACATTCCAACCACACCTCAATCGTGTCCTAAAGAAAAATTAAAATCAACAAGTGCTTTCTCAAGAGAAAAGTTAGCATTAAAAAAACTATCGTTATTGCCGTCATATTCTGGCAAAGGTAAAACTAAAAAGGTACCAAGGGAAAGCAGAGATATTAACGGATACACCAATAAAATTACATCTCGTAGAAAAACAACAAAGAAAAAACAATAGAAGTTCTGCTCGAGAAAGAGTTAATAAAAATATCGAAACAAAAGTAGCATTGAACAAAAAAAATTATTGTAAATGGTATTTTTTCTCATTTAGTCCTAATTTTATACTAAAGGACAGGAAACCTTGCTTTCAACTGGCCAAAACATCTTTCAATTATTACACGTTCTCAGCAGAAAATGTTATTATAATTTTGATGCTCTTGGGTTGCAGGATTTCCCTAGAGAGTCATAATCCAAGGCGATATTGAGTAGCCACCGTCTTTCCATAATACACATTCTTCTGTGCTGTTTTTAAGAATGTTGTTTATATCGGAATTTTTGAAAATCCTGCTATCGTGGTCATTGACAGTCTAAACTTATAAATATTTCGTGTGTATTACCACAGTATTAGCACTTCTAGGAAATTTAATAAAAATATTGGCCTTCTCCAAATATGATTTAGTTACGTTGGTTTTTATTTGCCTTAAATAATTTTGCGTGTTCATAAAACCTTAATAAAATATTAAAGGTATAAAATATTAGGTATACAAAATAATTCCATACAATAATGTTTTTCAATAGTATTTTTTCTAAAAATGAACTAACGGCGAATAAGATTTGTTTTAATTATTAAAGACCTACCTATCGTTTTACATTTTTTTCTGAACTTTTATCAAAATAACACAAAATTGAAAAAAGAACTACAATAAAGTTGTTTATTTGTAGTAGTTAATGCATAGATATAAATACTCGTATTTTATAAATACATGTAATTTTTTTTAATTTTTATTTAAATATAATGTCTAATGAGTTGGAATAGAAGCTCAAACAAATAACAGGTGTGAACAAGTTAAATCTGCAAACGAAAATTTGTGTAACCGTTCTCAAAATAAAAAAAGTTAAACTAACAAACTGATGAATGTAAGATTCTGCTTTGGTGAAAACAAATTGGAGGTTTATTTTTGCTAAGCAAAGCAAAATCTAATCAACATTAAGATACAGAATTTATTAGAATATAATTAAAGAATCATCATAATAGAAAAATGTTTTTAATACAAGCGGTGGGTAGCTCAGTGATTAGAGTCAGGACTTTGGGAACCAAGATTTCCAGATTTGAATCCCGCTGGCGAGTGGAGTTTTATTTATTTTAATGAATTAATTCTAATGCATTGGTAGGATTCCATACTCGACCATTTACTATTGGGTTCTAACTAAAATTGCTGATCCGAAAATGGCGCTGGGAAACAGTAACAAAGCCTACACCGAACACGAGGCTAATAACCATAGCAGTTGATGGCGATGACAAAAAATAATGGATTTAGTTGTGCTAATACATCTATATATTTGTCACAAGTACACCTATTCGCTCCGTGCGCGATAGCAGCGCCAATTCATTTTGATACTAATGGACTATTTCTGCGTATACTGACAAATGCAATTTTTAATAAAATTCGTAATTAAAGAGTATATATGTTAGTTTTAATAAAAGTATATGGATTTGTAAAACAAGTAAAACATTAATTTATT